AATTTAAATTTTTTGACGTAAACGGGTCAATTAGCGAGTCCTTGCTCTCGCAGTGGGCTCACGTGTCAGTAAAACGATCAGACAGCGAGACAGCCGGGCGCTGGCGACCGCAACCGCACCGACGCACACGCACGCAGCCCATCTACTATCCGCGCTATATCACTATCTTACTATGCATCGTAAAACGTAACAACTAACACCAATAAAAACACACACCATGCTTTTCCACTGTCATTTGTAAAAAAATGTTGTTATCTCTGATTTTTATAATAGTATAACCCAACCAAATAACGTTTATACTACAAGTAACGATGGGACAGATATAAACAATTTTTAAAATATATCTTTATTGAACTAAAAATTATGTATTAAAAAAAACTTTGTCCTCCTTTTACTTGTGTTACTAAAGTGAGACGTAAATAAAACCACAAATTAATAACTGACATAGGACATTTTTTTAAATTCCGAAGTCGAATTTTTAAAATTTAATTTTAATTTAATTTTTTAAATTGCAATGCGTTCACAAATTTCCAAAAATATGAAAGTAGCCACACGGCCGGTTTATTTTATTAATTTATTTTAGTAATTCTCCTTCAAGGGGTCACATTCCAAAAGTTATTACTAAGGTTGTTAGAAGGGCGAGCAAAATAAAAGATCATCTTTTCACCCTTTGCTCAACCTTTCTCTTTGAAATTCGAAGTTGTAAAACACTTCTCAAATTGCTACCAATTATACATTCCACATTTTGCGAGGCATTATATTTGGAAACCGGGCTTTATGACTCACCGGGATAATTAACTTTATCACTAATGGCCAACTTTCTCGGTTGTAAGCCATTACCTTAAAACTTTTGCTTTATCTGCAAAAAACATAAGAAAATCTCGAATGTTCTTTTATTTCCATCCAAATACAGTAATTATTGTAGAAGTAAAATATTGATATGAGATTGAGCTTTTAATTTTTATGTACTTAGAGAGTAGTATTTTTGTTATAATGTAAAGTTTAATTAGTATGAAATTCTACGGAACGTAATGTATGGAAGTACAAGCAAGTAAAATATTTAAATGCGTATCATGATGCCAGCGACACCGTCCGCGCGGAATTAAAAAAAAATAGTAGCCTACTTGTTGTTCCAGTCTATTTTGTACATCTAGGCTAAATTTCATCGAGATTTGTTAAGCCGTTCTGGGCACATTCATCCATCCATCTAAACTTTCGCATTTATAATATTAGTATAAGTTTTTATCGCGTCAACTTTCAATATTATATGGCATCTAGTAGCCGAAAATAAGCTACGATGGTGTTATAGATTGATGGAGTTAATCACAACCTTCTTGAGGATTACGACTTATGGGCAAGGATTATTTACATTTTGTAATATCAAAATATAACCTGTATCCTTCACAAGACATGTTATTGATAAAATTAATTATAAATACGGAAAACAACCTCTCATTGATCGTAAACATGTTTTATACTCAAAGCTAATTATCAGTTGAATGGTATTTAATGACACCATGGTATTTCGCGACAAAATGGCGATCGCTCAACAACTATTTTGTTTACTTCATCAAGAATTGTTTGTTGTTTATGAAAAACATGTATACGACTTTCGAATTCCTGCACCGATTCAAAAACAACTAGATTGAGACGAGAGTGTTCGCGTTTTGTTTACTTTTTGGAAAGTACGCAAAGATTTGGTTAATATACCGCGAGTTTCTTACACCAAAATTTCTTTGTCAAAATTACCTTCCTGTCATTATCTTTGACAAAACAAAGATAACAAGTTTTAAACGTAAATTTCGGTCTCAGAAATTCACGGTCAATTTGACCATTTATAAATTAGCAATGATAATAGTATCAGAGAGAAAAAAGGAATAAATAAAATGATGGACCCACTGGACAAAGACCCCGATGACGGGGAAGAAAGTTGAGAATTAACCAGTTAAAGAAGAAATATGCAAAAACGTAGAAATACGATTTTTTTAAATCTATGGTCTCAGACATACGTCATTCTCGATTCCGATAAGGCTTCTTAAATTAAAAAAAAAAACGACAATAATTCAAACATTATATTCAAATACAACTAATTACATCGAATACATTAACAGCGTAACAGAGTATTTCAAAAACATCTTGAGACAGCATTCTCGTACAACAAATTATTTTTACAGCTTATCATACTCCATAATATATGTGTATGAATACTATTCTAACACAATAACATGAGACCCAAGTAAAAAACTCCACTAATGTTTATATTTTCACTATAGACAGATTGGGCATTTTGTGCTAAAACTCGTATATTCGAGATTATTTCTGGTTTAACATTTTTTTCTCTAGTAATCTCTTCTATTAATCTCATAATATCCACAATATAATGTAAAGAAAGAAATCGTATAGTGCCTGCCATTGTTATAGTAGTTTTTAGATATCTTGATGGGTCTTAACTTCGCGCGTATAACTGCGCAGGACATAATTTTAGGTGTAGCTGAACGTAGGGAAGGCATTTCGCACCGCGCCGATGACCTTGGACCGCTAAAATATTTGAAAAGACCTATAATCTATTTACATAATTCATTTAGACTTTGGATCGAAATTCAACACTCACTTTGGACTTTTCCTGTAACGAATAAGCACATTGTGACGTCATTCTTAGGTACCACGTTATTATGCACACATAGTAATCACGTTCCGTTTATGTGATGAGCAGTACTGATAGTTCCAAACATTCATATCAGAAAACCAAAAATCATATAAATATGACTTTCGAAGTTTCTACATGCAAACAATATTTTAATAAATTCGTATAAGCTATTGGTACAAAGGTAACAATAATGGAAGATTAGGAGATGAAATAAAACAGTATTTGATTATTACAGCACCAATTGACACAGGCTTGTGGTAAGTTATGTAACAGAACGAATATTATAATTCAGAAATTCGAAAAGTTCCTACAAAAAGGTACACTTAGTAATAAATAGCTGTTGTCCGCGACTCCGTCTGCGCAGAATAAAAAAAAATAAGTAGCCCATAGTCTGGAAAAAACCATAGGCTAGTTAAGATTTTTTTTTAAATTACGCACGGACATGGCCGCAGGCGACAGCTAGTGTCCGTTCCATACTTTTTAACATAGGTCAGAATGGTCGTTTCTTTATAATATTTGTTCTGTGGATATTTTTTAATACTAACACACGTGTTTATACGCTAATAAATATAACAGCTAACAAATATTACGGTAAAATATATACGAGCCTTTTTATAAGCGTATATTTGACATTTATGTCGGTATATGTGACATTTTATTAAAGACAACAATACAATGATCGATTAATTCATAGGCAATAACAATATTAACAGCTGATTTATCAATACATAGATGGTAAATTCATAGAAAAAAATGATAACGTTTTTATTTTATTTCCTAAAAACATTTTTCGTTGAAGTCAAAGGCATATTTGCTATGGTAAAAACATCGATTAAATGGCAAGTAAGACAAAATCGATTATAAATCTTAACACATAGAAATAAAAATTATAAAAAAATATATTTTACTCACTAGCTTAAAATGAGATTCTTTATATACATTTGAATCAAATTAATTTTTAATATAGCTGCATAAAAAATTAAATGCGATGCATTTCGGAATGAGTACAAGATATTGTTCACACCAAACTTTATTTTTAATTTTTACTTAAAAATGTACAATGTTACTGTGAGTTGCCATTGTCAAAAAAAGTAATACACAGTTTATTTTTCCCATTCTTTTTTAAAAAAGATATTTTTTTTTGATTTTTCACAGGTTAATTATTTGTAAAATTTACAATACATTGAGCTACATTTTTAGAATTTTGTAAACAATTTTTATTATTTAAATCCAAAAACAGGTTTATAGTCAAGTTGGTGTGAACTTTTAGAAAATTAATAAAGGAATGTGATTAAAATATCCTTTTAGGATCAAATATTAGAAAGGTTTTTTACTGAATATATTCAGTAGTAAATATTATTTCAGTAAGATTAATTATGTTATAAACATAACGAGCGATTTTATAATTTAACACATTACATGCCGATAGGTTTGAAAATATTAACCTATTTCGTTTTCTACTATATTTTTTTTACATTAATTTTAGAATAATATCGCATTTCTTTCTCACAAATATAGATGTACACAGAAATCTTATATTTCAGTAAATATGAAAGTAACTCTTAAATTGTTTGATTTTTTTTATTCTTTTGAAAATATTTAACAGGGGGGATATAGTTACATAATTTAGCTAAACGACAAAGGCAACAAAAATACGTTGTTGCAAAAAATAAAAAAAAAACTAACAAAAGCTTTTTAAATCACGGTTTAAGCCATACATAATTAGAAATTCTTAATATATAGTAAGTCTAATCGATGTAAAATTATATAACTATAACTCACTGTTTTATATGTTTTTTATATCTATTTTTCATATCTATATGTCATATGACAATACATTTTGATATCATATTATGTTCTTATATATGTACAAAAGATTGCGATGAACTCATTAACAGGATGATGATAATTAAAATTCATGATACTAGTTTCACACTAGGGAGGCAGGGTAGTAGACAGTACACTTTTTATCGTACAATAACAAGACTGAACAGTACTGACAGTTGCATTCAATAGGAGTACTGTACTGCATTGTTTACTACCCTCGTGTGAAACCACAATAACCACAAAAACTCCATTTTCATGACAAACGTCAAAGTTTCGAGTAACCTATATCAATATTAAATTCTTTGGTATACTACAAAAGCATTTACAAGCAAATATCATCACTTATTTATATGGCCTTAAATATATTTTTATTTATATTGATAAAAATTATACATTTTGTAGAGGCGAGTGTAAATTTATACTGGAATAGAGATAAATTTGGCAAAAGATATTTCGTTAATTTAAAGCCTCTAAAATTATAGAGATCGTGATATTTGTTAAAAAAAAATTTTTATCAAAAAAAATATATTGTTAAATATAAAAAATGACAGATACATACGTACGTACATGCATACATACGTCATGTTAATATGTCCTGTCTACACCAAAATGGCACATTTTTAGCCTTCATGTTTTAATTAACTTCCATAATGTAAATGTGTGTTGGAGAAAATTAAAGTATGTCACAAAGTTATATGAACATTCTTCTAATGTTGGGTTTCTAAGACCAAAATCCCCATTTAAAACGTATTGTTATTTCTATTTCATCAAAGATAATGACAGGGATGAAGATATATTTTATACAGATTTGGTCTCAGAAACCAACGGTAAAACTATCTTTAAACAACATTTATCAATTCCTTAAACTTTCCAATTGATTTAAAGCTATTTGAGAAGTTTTATGACAAATCGAATGATGAATGTCAATTTTATATTATTCATAGATAGAACTATCAAAATATAAGAATACTGGGACATTTATTAAACTGGAATTTAACCCATTCAATGCTACCTGGCGAGTTCATTTTCACACTTAAATGGGAGCATTGAAAGTGTTATGCGATACTAAACTACAGAGTACAAACATCAAACTCTGTCAAAATTACCTAAGAATTAGTTAATTAGGAACGATCGTAAGTCATTTCTAAACTTGATAAGGTTCTAATAATATTGATAATATTTAATTATTAACAAGAAATGTAAGCAATTAACACAATTAATTGTATTTTTTGTGGATTATTTTAATGAGAATTACATTTTAAATAGACATAAAAGCAATATCAATATGTAATGAGACAAATTTTAGGGTACTTAGCTTTAAAAGGTCAGATAGTAAGAAATGCGAAGTTTTCAGTCAGGAATCAACAATGTTCATTCGCACCACAAATATCTCCAGCGACGGAGACGTCCCGGTCATCATTCACTGCTCTGTTCACCTGCACATATTAAACAATCCATAAACCCATCTTAGGGGCTCAGACCCTCAGTGGGGACATATAGTGAGCTGATGATGAAACCCAACTTAACTACCACAACCAGATTTTTATTACTTGTTACATGTGGGTCTAAAACATTCCAAAAAATTTAATAATAAAAATGTTATATACGTTTTTCATAGACTAAGAAAAAAAATGTTAAACAGATATGGAAGGATTTCAAAATCAAATTAGCACACTCACCGTGGGTTTCTGAGACTAAATTCTCCGTTTTAAACATATTGTTATCTCTGTTGTGTCAGAGATAATGAGAGAGAAGATATATGTTCTATACAGAGATTTTAGTATCAGAAACGCACGGTCAATTGCTAAATAGAGGAATATAATCCCATAATTATATTTAATATGAGAGAGAAGGGGAAGGAGGTATAGGTGGAAGGTGGAAGGTGGGAGGTGTGAGGTGGGAGGTGATGTTTACCGTCATTGTTGTTGTGTCGCGCGCGCACGAGACGCTCGGGGTGCGAGTGCGCGAGCTGCGTGTAGTCGCGGAACACCTCGTTGTATGTGTCGTCATTTGATGACATCTCGTTCTCGCGCATCTCCTCATTCAACTTCGTTAGACGTAACCTGTCAAACATTTACTTATATGCATTATATGCATTCACTCCTCCGTCAAATCACTTTCCCTTTCCTTTGACTTATAAGAAATGGATGGGAAGGGAAAGAAGGCTTACATTTGACCGAGTGTATTTATATTCTAAATAAATTAAAAAATACACCAGATTGACAAATATTTTGACTTACAAAGTGACAATGTCAGCGTTGGCGTGCTCGACCGCGATGTCCAGCGGCGTGTGACCCTCGTTGTCCTTTATAGACTGGTCTGCTCGGTATCGAAGCAACAGGCACACCTACATATATCAAAATGTAACTGCGTTTTAGTAGATAAAGCACTTGTATAACTATTGTCATCTTGCTCATACTCTTTGATAAAAACAGAGACAAAAATATGTACCAGCATGATAATGCAATTTCACGGTTTTTGGTTTCCTTTAACAAGAAAAATAAAATTATATTAAGCACGTGTGTGCTAGCTAATACACATTAGGAAGTTAATAGGGACAGTGACAAAGTGGTATATATACTATTGTGTCATACAGACCTGTCCAGTGTGTCCAGCCTCTGTGGCCAGATGCAGCGGAGTTTTGCCGTCCTCGTCCTGCGCGTTCAGCTTGCTGCCGTTCAGCAACAGGAACGAGCAAGCCATCACTGAACCCTAACAATTAAATACAATCACCATAGATTAGTCATAATGACTAATTTAGTAATTACCGAGGAGTAACAGGTACTAAATTTAAAGAATTTCCTACAATCCACCATTCGTAATGTTAAGATATAGAGCAAAAATAACATGAGCATTGTCTGTCTATTTTTAAAAGTTAAGAGTGCCGTAGGCATAGTTTTAATACTGTTTTCCTTCATTTTTTTCGATTGGACGTAAAGTAAGGGGAAATTTTCCCTTTCTGTACGTCTCCTCTTCCCGTCGATTTAAGGTAACGGTTCTGCAATTGCGGATCACTATGGGTAGCTTCGCGTATGCGATGTAATAATATAAAAGTAAATGAATGATCGTAGTAGGTAGTGTACTAACACTAAGCACGGCGGCGTGCAGCGGGGTGCGCAGACGCGGTGCGGTGGCAGTGGGCGAGGCCCCGGCGGCGAGCGCGGCGCGCATCACGCACACGTTGTGCGCACGCGCCGCACGGCACAGCACCGCGTCCGCACTCAGGCTCGACAGATCCTCCGCTTCTGTTATCCAATGAACAAAACTAGTTTTTTTTTTATACAAAACATGACGCCCAGTGAGATATTAGAAAAATACTATCTCTTTTTAATTGACGCATATCGTTGTCTTTGTTTTTTCAAAGATAATTTGAGGGGCAACAAGACAACTGTAACTAAGTTATTAAGATTTTTTTTTTATCTGTTATGACGTTACCTAGTTCGTCTGTATCATCGCCCTCAGTGGAGTCATGGTCTGATGGTAGACTGAGATCGATGTCGCGCTCGCCGGCCAGCTCGCTGCCGATCAGCAGCACGGGGCTGCCTGAACTCTTGCTGCCGCTCTCCGATACTGCACACAAACAACTAAATATACTAACGATACTACGTTATAATCACTAAGGAAATCCCTTAGAATGTATCTAGTAAGATAAATCTACACTAAGCGAACACTTAAGTGTATTTGATTGTGAAGTCTTACCACTAGTATTACTATTGACATCACTCTTCTCATCCGCGATAGTTTCTGGTACAGTCGGTTGTGCTCGGACTCTATAAATCATATTGATAGTTACAAATAGTTAGTATCGAAATCACATTAACAACTCGAGTGTACAGTCAAGGAATTTAATTCACTTCCACTACCATCGTATAAAAAATATGAATTAGCACGTATGCATGCTACTGTACAAATATCTTCCCCTTTCTACAATTTTCTTATGCGGAAGGAATAAGAAAAAGAAATTGCCTTCGCGAGGGAGGTGATGTTAGGAAATGGAGATATCCTTCTATACGCCTTTGTTAAATGTAGGCAATTGATCTTTTGTTCTCTCTTGAGATTATTACTCGTTTGGAGCCTTATAATAAAAAAAATTAAGATGCCTTGTAAGGAAGAAATGGCATCTAATTGGAAATTAATTAAAGGTTACGCATACCTGCGCCTAGCTCGTCTCACGGACCACCGTCGTGCGGCGCGTGTGGGTGGCGGCGAGTTGGACGGCGAGTGGGGCGGAGAGTGGGGCGGGGAATGGGGCGGGGTTTGGGGCGGGGCGCGCTCGCACGCGGTCACGTTGCGTACGAACGACAGCGACACATACTTGGCGCGAATCCACGCCTCGCGTACTGACCTGTGTACATCAAATATATCTTATAGCTAAAACAATGTAAATTAAATGACTAGGGAGCGCGTCAAACAAAGTTTTTTCGCAATACTGCGAAGTTTTACAGTTGCGTTAAAGAACTATCTATCTTAAATATGTCTTTAAGAATATCCACTCCGAAATATCAAAATCCGAAAAATCGACGGATATCAAAGAAATGTGAATTTGACTTTAGAGTAAATATAATAGATAAAAAATTATTTTGCTACTAGCTATTAATCTTACTAATATTATAAATGCGAAAGTTTAAATGGTCTGGAAGAACACATAGGCTACTAATTATTTTTTTTTCTAATTTCGCGCGGACGGAGTCGAGTGCGATAGCTAATAGTGAAATAAAAACTGATTATATCTTACGTTTCACAATTGGAAGTAGGTCTGGTGAGGTCGGTGCCCTCTGTGTTCGCCTCGTAGATTAAATTCACTATTTTATTACCCAGCTCCGCCATTACCTGCACAATGTACCAAGCCTTTCAATTAAAACACACACATACAAACGCAGACCGGACTAGCAATATCCATAAAAAAAGATACACACAGATTAAAAAGATTTTTTTTAAATACCTTAATAATATCAGGTTCCCAATCATCCAGTGTCAGGGAGCGAACTTTGCTGACGTGCACTCCGAGCGAGCGGTGTACGCCGGAACATGCTGCAAATATTATTATATTTTATTTATTGCTGTATTACTATGTATTAAGAGTATACCCAACAAACCACAAAAATATATAAATGAAAAAAAAAATGATTTCACCAATAGATTTTTACATGAACGAAACTAGTTCATGTGTTGCCAGCACAATTAATTATGAGTTAATTCTGTGTTTTAAACAAAGTAAAATATAAAAAGGTGAACTTTTCAACATTAAGAGCCGTTTAATAATTAAAATGAAGTATCCTTTAGCTAAAATATTATTTCTGAAAGTGTCGTTTTAATACAGACCTATGCAGAGTGTAATTCCTAGATTGATACTGGCCCAGCGCGGGTTCGGACTGCTGCAGTCACAGCAGTAGTTGTTGCCCGGGATACTCAGCAGCTGCTCCCATATCCTGAAACAAATATCTTACTAATATTATGTCAATGTTTAGATGGATGGATGTTTGATAGAAGATAACTACTAATCTCAATGATATTTTGCATAAATGTAAAACACAGTTTGGAAGAACACATAGGCTATTAATTAACTTTTATTTTAACTACTCGCGGACAGAGTCGCGGGCTACAGCTAGTTGAATATAAATTAGCAATTTTATTGGCATTTTTAATTCGCTTACAAAAAGAGTAAATTTCGTTTCAAAGTAGCTTGTAGTATGTGGTCGTGGAAAGCATCATGCAAGTTTTCGTTGTATACGACACTTGTGGGAGGTGATGATGTGTGGTGTGTCCATCACCTGACTTTCTTCATCCTGTCATTAGCATGCGGGTGGTTGTGCGCGTGGTCTCTGTCGGGCACCAGCACGAGCTGCGTGTCAGGCGGGTCACGACCTCGCCCCTGCTGTATGGCGGAGCGGATGCCGCTTTGCAGCGCCGCTATCCACGCGCCCACCATCTCCTCGGAGTCAGCTTGCAGCATGTGACTTCTACAATATATTCAAAACTGACAACTTAGCCACGTTGTCTTCTCCATTGGACACAAATAAGATACTATGACGTCACAAATATATTAGTAATTTTTTTTTTGTTTTTTTTTGTTTGCATTTTGTCCTATATTACAACTACAAATAATAGAGCCAAAAAGAAATGTGGCAACTAAAATAATTAATGAACATCCGAATATATAGAAAAGTTAGTGTAAAAAATTTGAAATCACATTTAAATTGTAGCAAATCGATTTTGACGTTGACGGGAAGGAAGCTGCACGCGAGCATATTATAGGTTATTTTTCTTGCGCTGACGAAGTCACAGGCAACCACTAGTTAAGTGATAAAAATAATTAAAGTAAACTCACTTGGAAGGCGACAATACTTCGAAACAGAACCTCCTCTCTCCATCCAACACCGGCTTAACTGTACACAAACGTAAATCCTCTTCCATTACTGTCACATTTAGTTCTCCAGTTCTTTTTCTGAAAAAAGAAAACAATATTATTAAAATGATAAATTATTCCATATTTAAATTCAAATGAATGAGAACTTATAAGAAATTTATCTAAACAATATTACCTTTATAACGCAATCAAACAAATATTTAAAAAAACATGCTTATATTTAAAAACTCTATAGAAAAAATTAATCCATAAACAATAAATGACTCATTTCTAACAACTCATTTGAATTGAATTCGTTTATACAACTTATGTTTAGATGTTTAGATGGATGGATGTTTGTTAGAAGGTATCTCCATAAAGGTTGCATGGATGGAAGATGGCATAGCCGCACAATGATAGATATAGAACAAAGTCTGGAATAACACATAGCCTACTAATCAAGATGATTCCGCGGACAGAATCGTGAGCGACAGCTAGTTATAGCATTCTTAAGATAATCAAATAAAAACACTAATTAAGGTCATGCGCCTAATAATTGCACTGATATAATTTACATAGTCACCAATCTAGGGTTTCAAAATGTATATTAAACATATATCTAGATAATATTTCATAACCAAATAGACCGTGACCGGCTTCTAATTCGACCTTCACGACAAATACACAAACCAAATTTACCTATAAACTAATCGATTGTCGTACAAATAGAACCATCTTCTGTTCCAAGTCTTGAATGCGTTTGATGTTCTTTTGAAGAGGTAACCTTGCATCCTTGGTAAATTCTTGAGGCAGGGCGAAGTAAGTAGACCGTCTTTACAGTCAGTCTCATTGGCGTGGTCTTTGCAACTTGGCAGAACAGTATCTTGACTGTTCACTATAGTATGCCGGTTCTCCATTTCTTTATCCAGCGATTTGGTATCACCACGCATTGTTGTCACCTAGAAATGTTAGTGTGTTTGATTATACAGTAAGTTTCCACTGTCGTGACAACTGTGTGACAACATATATTTAAAAAAAAGAACAAGGTAAAAAAATACTGAAACACAAATCTATTTTTGGATAAAAACAGAAGTTGAACGACATTAGTAATGAATGTCATTAAAAAAACGTTTTGGGCAAAACAAACAATGCTTCATATCAAGTCTAATAAAATTTGAAGGACTCGGGTTCGGATCCATAACTTAATTACTTAAAGTTTTCTTATCGATGTTAAAACCTTCTTTAATGACTTTTCATAAAAAAAAACTAGATACCTCGTCCGCTGTTGATTTGAGGAAGGGTTCCAAATCTTCAGATAAATCAGCTCCTTGGTGATAATATGTGCAGCAAGCTTGCATGTATGATAAAAACTGGAAAAAAAAATTATCTCATTGATTCGTAGTTTATTGAAAATTATGCTACTCGGACGTGATAACCTGAAAATTACTGTTAAAATTGTGCAAATGAATTTATAATCGCAGATTATTTGCTTTTAACAGTGCAAGTATTTAGATTCTAATATTTTTTTTTCTCGATTTTTCTCTTCAGTCTCTTCAGCACAATATAAAGAAAAGCCGATTATTAATTCCTAAGTTAAGCGTGATGAAACAAACTCTTCAACTTTATTATATTAGTATAAATAATTTAGTCATATTATTAATAATAATCAAATAAAACAGAATCTAACCGGATGACACTGTTTTTGTTTTATTTTACACTCCTTTACAGCAGAACGACATATCAATGGCACTTATTAATAAGTAAATTAACATAGCTTTGATGAATAGAGAAATAAATTACCTTATTATGTGCATTAACAATCTATCAATTAAACTGATTACCTCTATAATTATAAATGCGTAAAATAAATTATCAACACTGCAACGAACCGCATAAGCTTAACCGTCGCGTCAAGACGAATGAATTGTCACTTCTAGACAACAGCAACCTTGCGAACAGTGTGGGCGTGGCGCAAAAACTATTGCAAGAACCTGGCATTGGATGTTCTAATGACTAACCTCAGTTTGTTTTATTGATAAGATAAGCCGTATTTAATTTATAACATATTACAGATTACATATCTATATTCAAATGAAATTGTTACAGATTTTCAGGTAATTGGGTTAGGCAGGTATAACTTTTAATTCATACGGTTCATGACACTAAGGGACGATCAAAGCTAGCTAGTTTCCCGAATGCAATAACTCCTGAATCAAATCCCCTGAAGTCTTTACTGACTAAAGAAACTCTGAATGCAGCACACTGAATCAAAAGGTACGTCCGATTGAAAACTATGAGTGTTTCCCATTGGGACGATTATCCTGGATCGCGCCTGTGATTTTTTTTGCCATTGGACTGATTGATTGGCCCAACTGGAAACACACAGAACTATAACCAATGATATGATATGGACTTGATATCACATCACAATTTAAGCTTTACAGTTATGATCGGAAGACAATTAACATATACGTAAATAGAATGACGTACTCCGTGAAAATACTCGTACTTATTCTTGTAAGGTTTCTTAAGTACATTATCTGCTTAGATAATTTCTTTCTTATATTATTACGCTTTTTTTAATATAAACAGGTTTTTCTTAATGTACTAATATTTCTTGATTCCAACTAAGCTCTAATAGCACAAGCTAGGATATGGTTTACGACTTTAGTCGAATGGCGGGATTCGAACTCTCGACCCTCGACTCGGAACTCGATCGGAAATCCGTACCCTTAACCACTAAATATGTGTAAGGAACACGCTCAGCAGTGGGCAAAGAGAGGCTTAATAAGCCATAATCACGTCAAATTACAAAACAGCTACCGACATATTTATTATTGAACAGATAAAAACTAAAAACATTTTACTATTCCTGCAAGTTCTAATACGAATCGTGAGCACGTAGTAACTAAGTAAACATGACATAAAAAACAATAAAGATTCGCTTAAAAATATGAAGGCTACGAATTTTAACAAAGGCTCGCACGAGAATTTCTCACGAACAGCCGACATTAACCACCGGTATTACACCGTGACGCAATAACCCAGTGTCATAACAAAACAATTATAAAAACTTATTGTTATTCAACACACGGCCCAATGTGTATTTTACGCGTAATAGTCGCATGTTGCGCGTCGCATAAAACATATGGAAAACATTGCATATAAACAGTGGTTTATTGCATGAATGGATCGACTCAATCGAGGACAAATAAACAATACAATCTTATTATATTAATGCGAAAGTTTATATGAATAGATGAATGTACAGTCAGGCCAGTTCGCGGTAAATCACTAATAGAAAGATTTCATTGTTCTTTGCAACGAGATAAACTGGTAGCAGTGAGTTGCAATGATAATAAAATCAATTACTCGTACAAATTTAAAACCTGACTCTTATTTGTAATTGTGTCCACGTCGTCGTCTCAATACGTACGAAATGTACAAACGACTGTCGCTTTAAAGGTGGAATACCGTTAGATTCCCCGATAGTACAAATGTTATCAGGTAACTCCAGAACGGTTAAACAAATCTGCATGAAACTTTCAACAGAAGCAGATTACAGTTTATCTTTTATTTAAAATGCAAAGACGAAATTACGTGCTGCAGCTATTCTCATATAATTCGTCAAAGCTAGTCCTATATTTTCCTTTCTAAACCGTACCGAGTATTATTTGATGTTTAGCAATAAAACAATCAATCTGATATTAACAATTTCCATTGACATATCGAAATGTTATAATAATTATTAACACCAATACTAAAGTTAATATTTATGCACGGCCCCATGAAAGAAAAATGATGTACCGTAACCGTTCAACCTAGATATGTCTCATCATTTGCCTCAACTTTCAGACTGAATGAGAATAAATATGCATATCAAACGCGCACCAATAACACACATCTTACACGGATGTTGGATGAAGCAGAATAATTTTACTAATATTAATGCGAATATTTAGTGATTCCCAAACTTATTTTGTCTACTGTCCACTTTGAGAACAGATTTTTTTTAGTGCCCCTATATTTTCACTATAACTTCAAATTAAATTAATTAATTATTGTGACCTATATTTGTATGTATATTAACGGAGAATTCTAAACGAAACTTTTACTATAACCCGCAACTTGAGACCCACAAGTGGGCGGTTTCGCCCACTTTGGGAAAGACTGGTTTAGATAGATGGATGTATGTTAAAAGCTAACATCAGTACAGTCTGCAGAAAAAATACTATAGGAAGTAAATGAATTAGAAACATTTAAATTAAGAAATAATAATTTTATCTACAAACGAGTTCATTAACTTCAGTAAAGAGGAAATCAAAGTACATTTTTCTAGAAGTTCACTTCAAATTTCACAATTTTTTTTTTATTTGTGACTGATTGCCACTGTTTGCCTTGAGGAGGCATTTACAGCTTCACCGGGCTTGAGGTGGCCGAGCGCAGATGGCACTTAGCCTAAACCTCGTTTAAGAGTAACAAATTTCACAACTAACGTTAGTTGTGTACCTAAAAGTTTAGTATAAAAACTCAGGTCTATATTTTCCTATGTTGATACATACAGAGTTAAAAGAATAAATTATGAAATACAATATATTACAACATATACATTGTCTTGAATAAGGTTACGTGTCGGCCATCATTAGGGCGTAACTAGGTTAAGTGTTCATTACAAATAATTTCGCTGTAATTCTGAATTACTATGTCCCATTATAAGGGATATGTGATAGGTCATTTACGAACGTAATTTGATAACTCACATCAATAAAAAAAGATAAAATATTTTTATTTTTCATTATTTAAAAACAATGACAAAATTCTTTTAATCCTATAAATTTATATATGTTTATATTTAGAGAGGGGTCCATAAAAATCTGACTGACTGATTTACTAACTAACCTTAGGTTTCTGAGACCAGTTTCTGTTTAACATTATTGTTTGATAATGGGCAATGTTTTATACAGAGATTTTGGTCATAGAAACCAATGGTTAGTAGGAAGTTAAAAACAAAATCATATCTCGTATTGTAGTCTCGTACTTTAATGCCGGAGACAAAACCATGGAGCACATATAGTATACGCACAATGTTAGCAGTTTATCATAGATGAACAAATGCTGTGACTTACCGTTGCCAATATCTCATGTCGCTTTCTAGCTTGCAGCATTGTGATCTTCTGTACATGGTCGAGTGCTGTATGTCGGAAGCAAGAGCGGGTGGCCAGTAATAGGTTAACCGCCTCCTCCACATCGCTGGACTTGTGACGAGAGATCTGGACATAAATACACACTTTAGTGTAGCAATTATTAGTAAGAGTTGGCTATGGCAATGGTTATTATCTTGTAGAAAATATGATATGATATAAATCAAGTTTTTTGTGAATTCCGCCACAGATTAAATTTGACAGGCATATTTTTAAATAAGTAAATATTAAATATTAAACTTACATAATTTGATATAAAATAGACATATAAAGGTAACAGTTTTATTAAATTCACTATAATATGTGATTCAATTGATGTTAATAATAATTATGAAGCAAATCAAGGTTAGCCACCTGCGTTAGATTCTTTGCATTTTAATTGTCAGTTTAAATGTACATGTTTGTGGTTTCTCATAAAACAAAAGTTATACTTATTGACAGATCTTTATTTATCTTTTAATTGGCTGTAGGCCGCAACTTCGTCTGCGCGGAATTAAAAACAACTCAATTAATAATCTATTTGTTGTTCTAGACTGTGTTCTACACCTATGCCAAATTTCATCATAATCCGTCCATCCATCCATTTAAACATTCACATTTATAATAACAAGAAGAATATTATCAATAAAATATATTGTACCGGGCCTGCTTTTAAATATAATGCCGAAGTTTATAACCTCGTTAGAAGCTTATAGTCAAAGTTACAAACCTGTGAGTTTCTTATTAAAGCTATGTCCAGATCATTTGAGATTTTATCAAAATGATGCTTGCTCTCTTTCACACCCTTTATATCTCTGCAACAATAACAATTGCATTTTTATCTAGTTTAACTTAATGTAATTTTTACAGAATAAGGTAGCAAATGTGTGAGCTTAAAACAGAATTCACCAAAATAGTAAAATGACCACCCCTGCCCACAGACATCTGCATTGACAGGGGAGATACCCAGAAAGATAGATAGGATATATCCCCTTCTTATCTCTCCCTTCCTCCACTGCAAACATTTCCACTTCAGATCCTTTTGTTATACAATGAGAATGGAAGGGGTAAGAAGACCAAAACTTGGGCTCTAACATGGGCTTGACAAATGAAAGGCAGAATTACTTCCACCTTACCTGTCTTGAGTGGTTGTGGTATACAATGGTTCTCGGGTCAATTATGCAAGGGATGTTTCTAGCTCTACTCCTGTTAAATGGATTGTCTTTGATTAATATATTACTTTTTACATACTTACATTTTAATAAATGCTGAGAGATTCTTGAGTACAGTTCTGGATGCCTGGTCTAGGAGAATTGAGTGAAACTTATTCATTTCTTGCAATGCATGAATCATACGGTTCAGGGTTGCCATGACAGGTGGATCCTCGGAAAAACTACTGCTTAAGTCCCATAGTGCATTTGTAAAAGCACTACAAAAAATATATATAATAACCATAATGTGTAGATTTATTACTTGTTACCATTTATATCTTAACTAAAGTCTTATAATTATTTGAAGTATAACAGACTTGTCAATTTGGTTGATTCATCCAATTATTTTAGAGTAATTCTATTATTGCAGCTGATTACATTGTAGATGTTATAGATTTATGGTATGAAAACTGAATAATTTTTGGTAGGATTTAATCCACAAGAAATTTAGTATCTGGAGTAAAAAGATACTTCTCAGCTTATTCACATTGTACATTTTGAATATCATACTTGATCAATGCAACTAAAATCTACTACAAAATTCTTTGTTATGTATCGAATACTATTTGCATCTTAAACTCAATTTTAGTCAATATAAAAACAGTGTAGTTTTATCTCATAATGTCCATTTATTTTTATTAAAACACCAAGAAAGTAATTAGTTAAAAAGTAAACATCACATACAACGTTATCACAATAATAACAGATCATGTCAGTTAGCTTTTTTACATAAATAAAGTAGCACATAAACTTACCTCCTATGAGTCATGTATGTTTTACCGGATTCTATCATGAAAGAGCATGTCTTGAGGACTTTATCAAGTTTCTGCTCTAAGCCATCAATACTAGCTTCTTCCGTTTCCAGCTGTTCCCTAAAGCAATGAATTATTAAAACTTGAATATATTAAAACACAAAACACGTACATAGTTTCACTTTCTACATAGAACTTTCGTTGAATAACTATTTTGGTGCTTACCTAAATTTTGGGGAATCTCTTAAACATTCGTCAAAATCAATTAAAGGTTTCATTGTAATGATTTTAATTGCAGTTACAGTGATAATATATTTTACAACATTTTTCTACACGAAACAAAAAGTCTTGTCTTCGTACAACAATAAACGTACCACAGATAACTTAATTTACAACTGACAAACAAAACTGATAAAAATGACAGCAAAAGACACAGATTAAAACACCGTTAACGCCTAGCTAGTTCTTGTTCATTGATTGTGTTTGTTGTCTTTTTTTGTCTGTCATTTGGTTGTCAGAACAATTGACATTGTCACTGTCAGACATATTTTATATACTCTTTGCTGTCAGATTTATTTGCCCGTCACATAGAGGTCTATATCAAAACAAATTTACCGTTTTGTCGTGATTGTAGTTTATTATTATTTACGGTTATCAATTTTATTATTTTTTAACTCTTTTTGAACTTGAAAGTGTCGTGTTGATTTTTTACATTTGTAAAGCAACGAAGATACAATTCATAATTTTCTATTTAATTTATAAGCGCGTATTACGATATAATGGATACAAATAAAACATCTCCATTTAAAAATAATCATTTTATTACACTTGTGATTAGTGTAATTGCCATTCCTCTGTCTATGTCGATGTGGATTATTAATATCATCTATTCCAAATTACTAGGCCAAAACGAAGGATTGGATGGTAAATATATTAATGTCTTTATACAATACATGTGCAAGTATATTTTATAACCATTTTTCTATATTTTTTCAGAGCCTATTGTGATATCACCTGCTAGATGGTTGGCGGCTTGTTTTATACCATTGCTTATTTGTGTATATGGGTATAAAAAGAAGACACTAAATTTAAGTGGAACATTTTTAGCTTTTGTTGTTGGATTTGTCCTAACTTTGGCCAATTTATGTTTCTTTGCTGATTTGCTTATATTTTTCTTTACGTCTTCAAGAGCAACTAAAGTGAAGGGTCATTTGAAAAAGAAAATAGAAGAAGACTTCAAAGAAGGTATACATTGAAAATCAGAAATAAAGGTTACCCTTTTATGAATGAACTGTTTAAATTGCAATTCTTACAATTTTTAGGTGGTCAGAGAAACTGGATCCAAGTCCTTTGCAATGGGGGCATGGCTACTCAGTTAAGCTTGTTGTATTTATTGGATGTTGGTGCCTCAGAGAGGCCAATAGATTTTATGAAAGATTACAGAGCATCTTGGTTGTCTTTGGGTGTTATGGGTGAGTTATTTTTTACAATTGACTTGACATTTACTAAACATACATGATACATATTCTTATTTTTATTGTCTGTTTCAGGTGTCCTTGCATGTTGCAATGGTGATACATGGGCCTCTGAGTTGGGCACAGTATTTGGCAAAGGTGACCCTGTTCTTATAACGACTTGGAAGAGAGTGCCAAAAGGAACAAATGGCGGAATAAGCCTCAATGGAACAATTTTCAGTACTCTAGGAGGCCTTGTCATTGGAATAGCACATTATTTTACCGCATTCTATTTTTCAGACTCTAATCTTTGGATGTATGCTCCTCCACAGTGGCCCATTATTTTGTTAGGTGCTTATGCAGGATTTTTTGGCAGCTTAATAGATTCATTATTAGGAGCAACTTTGCAATATTCAGGTATGATTAGTTTTGGAATTTTACAATTTGTTATTTAAATTCTTCAAATGTTTATTTATAATTTTTATTTTTGTTTCCAGGTGTGGACAAAAACGGCAAAATTGTATCACATTCAAAGCATGCTGTAAAGCATATCAGTGGAATACATATCCTTGATAATCATAGTGTTAATCTTATATCTACAATTTTCATGGGAATACTTTTACCAACAGTTAGTAAAATGGTTTGGCCTACTTTTTAATATTTTAAGACTGATTACAATAAAGTCATTTAACAATTTGAACAATAACAGGTCTTGGCACACTATAGTTGTGAGATGAGATACTAATTATAAATAAAAATTATGAATGGTTTCTATAAAATTTATTGTTTATATTTAAATAAATTATTTATCACTTACTTGGTTATCTTTTAATTGAACCCACGTAGTTAATTGTTTATAATAAAAATAGACAGTGATGGTTTAGTGGCTTTTATAGAATTACTATGAAATCACAAAAAAATTGAAATGGAACAATATTTTTATGATTGGTATTTGCGTAGGCGTATTATATTTTATATTCTATAGGAAGTATTTCGGCTATAATTGATTCATAAAATAATTGCTGAAATTGAACATAGCCAAGTAAATGGAAATTACGTTAGTTTTAAATCTGATAATTCTATATCACAAGTTGCTGCCTTAGTTTTTTATTATATGTTGAAATAGAGCAAAAAATAAATAAATTAGTTAACATGGGCTTATTCCATATTTATGAGTTGGCTCTTAGATAATGTAATTTTTTCTCTCCCGTGTTAGCCAAGGTTATAAGTTTTTTTTCTTAATAACTATTGTTAAGAAACACGACTTGGTAATGTCAATTTATGAATATTTTATCTTAACCATGTATTGTTCTTTTTTGTACAGGTATTATCTGGTAATAATTTTTTTTCAGCATTGCAGCATTAGGAACCAGATTATGATTAGGTGTGAATTAAAAACTAGAAATAAACCCCTTTTTTATTTTTACAGCCGATTTTGGTAGATTTATTGTAGTAAATTGAAGTTTTCGAGCAAAGAGTTTATAGTTTTCTACAAAGAGTTTATGGTTTTCCACAAAATCGATGGCATGCTTATTCTATGAGATTCTATGACAATTTGACAGAATTCAGGTTTTCTAATCTGTCGAAGATTTACTATGACAACCGCGACAAGGTTATTTTTCCTTTGTTTGTGTACAACTGCAATTCCTTAAAAATTGTTATAAATTGTGACTCATTTTTAGACACAATAGTGTTACATTGTCTATAATTATTTTTTAAGATTAAGGAATGCGCTTTTTATTTTAATTCACTATGTCATTGCCAATAGAAGAAGATCCTATCATAAACGCTGATATAAGAGATGATGTTACAAGTAGCAATCGTAATCTAGTTGAGGTTGAACGAGGTAAAGACCTAATTCCGGATTATGCTATCATAACAAAAAAAACTCTTCATTCCGTTTACTAAGCATTACATTAAATAACTTATACTGAATTGTTTTTATTGTTGTAAAGTGATTAGCGTAATTATATTTTTATTGGCCTATTTATCTTACGATGTCATTTTTATTACTGCCCTTATGACAGCATACAATAAATTATCCAATAAGATATTAAAGCTTACTTTTATGTTCAGAGGAAACAACAGGATGGATCAAAAGTCGGACAGTGCTAGGCATCATGGGCTTTCTAGGTTTCGCCAATGTGTATGCCATGCGTGTAAATCTGTCTGTAGCTATTGTGGCTATGGTAAACTCAACAACTGTACAGAACAATTCCACACTAGATGTATGTTTAGCTCCAACCCCTAGCAATTCTTCAATACCAGCAGTAAGTACATTTAAGGCATTACATAGTTCACAATAACTACACACACACACACACAAAAAAGTAATAAAGCATACTATTGTTCTCTGCTATTCTAATTGATTACCACCCACTTTGTCATTTGATTTTTTTTTACACTCATTTAAATATAAAGAATACTAGACTGCTTAATTAAATATATACCAACATTGTTACAGAAACCGGGTGAATTTAATTGGGATGCAGGACAACAGAGTATTATTTTAGGATCATTCTTTTATGGATATGTTTTAACACAGGTAATTTATTATATATTTCTTGCCTGCAAAAGAAATCTTATGTGGTTTGAATAATTAACTTTGTTTCACATAAAATAGAACATAAGAATTATAAAATAGATCTTGAGAATCAAATATTGATTTCCGTCACAGATTACTATATACAATGGTAGATTTTGTCTTTATTTTTAGATACCAGGTGGAAGGATAGCTGAAATATTTGGTGGAAAACTTGTCTACGGGATAGGAGTCCTGTTAACTGCAATATTTACTATTTTAAGTCCCATAGCAGCGAAAGTGGACTTTAAGTTCTTTATAGTTGTGCGAGTACTGGAAGGTTTGGGTGAAGGTGTTACTTACCCTGCCATGCATGCTATGCTAGCTAGATGGATACCACCATTGGAAAGATCAAAGTTTGCTGCTTATGTTTATGCAGGTGAGCAATTTTGTATTTTTATTCTGAATGTGGAACAAAAATCAACATTTTTTATGTACTGTAACATTGTTGAAAATTGTATCAATAATATTAAAATTAAATGTAATGACCGTCTTTTAGTTATATGCTAGATGAGTAAGGATATATTATGCCAACACAAAATCCAAATTTTGTAAAAACTACATGCCTTTATGACATTTGATATAATTTCAAAATAATTGCAAAACTTTGAAACAGTGATTATGAAAATCAAAAATTTTAATTGTTTTATGTACTTTTATCTTGTTCTAGGATCAAATATAGGCACAGTCATATCTTTACCAATATCAGGTTGGCTCTGTACCCTTGATTATGCTGGTGGGTGGCCGCTGTGCTTTTATCTGTTCGGAGGCCTTGGTGTATTATGGTTTGTTGCATGGATGTTCCTAATTTACGATACTCCACAAAAACATCCAAGGATTTGCCCGAAAGAGATTGAATATATAACAAATTCAATTGGTGTTCAAGTAAGTAGTCACACTCAAATATATATATTAATTAAAACAAATAAGAAATGTATAATATAAAGATTTATGTGTTTGATCTTACTAATATTATAAATGTGAATGTTTGGATGGATGGATGTCTGTTTGAAGGTATCTCATATATATCTCATATATGGCTTAACAGTTCTTATTGAAATTTGGCATAGATGTAGAGCATAGTCTAGAAAAACACATAGGTTACTAATTATATTTTTTTTAATTCCGCGCGATCGGAGTCGCGGGCGACAGCTACTAGTTAATAAAACTTTGCAATAACAATTATATCAGCAATAGCAGAGGTTGAAATGTAAACATTGATAGCAATAATTTTGTTATGCGTATCACTTGAGTGGGACAGTAGGGCGCAGATGTGAGTCAACTTATGATGTCATATATATTGTACATTGGTATCATATTAAAATGTTCGATTCCAATATAATTTCTTTGAATGAAAGTGGGTGATATTAAATTTGATATCCCAATGTCCGAGTTTCAGTTCACTTTAGCACATTCAAATAAAAACAAAAAGATGGGAACGGATTTAATTTCAGAGAGGATGTAAAGTATCGAAGTAATACATTTTCAACATGCAATAAAACCAATCATACTTCTTACTTATATTATAAATGTGATTGTTTGGATGGATGAATGGATGTTTGTTAAAAGATATATCTAGAACGACTGTATGGAGCTCGCTGAAATTTGGCATAGATCTAGAACATAGCCTGGAAGATAACATAGGCTACTAATTAAGTTATTTTTTTAATTGCAGGAAGATAAACCATCAATGTCGATACCATGGTGCAAGTTCCTAACCTGTTTACCCCTGTGGGCGATATTGATAGCGCAATGTGGTCAATCCTGGCTCTTTTATACACAACTAACAGAGCTACCAACATATATGAATAATATACTTCACTTTGATATTGTTTCTGTAAGTTAATATCCTTACTAATATTATAAAGAAGAAGAAGAAAATATTTGATCGTTCATTTGTTTGCATTGGCTTCGAAACAATTGAACCGATTTCAAAAATTCTTTCACTGTTTGGAAGCTTCACTATTTGGGTGACATATGCCATACTTGTTACTAGATTTTTTATAATTTAGTGTGGATGAAGTCGTGGGCAACTGCTAGTATTAATTATAGTATTAGTATATAAGATTAGAATTAACGCTAAATTATACATATAAAAGTATGGAATGAATTTTATTTAGAAGTGCTCAAATTAATTTAATTAGAAAGCAATAGTGCGTTTTCATGGCTTGATCACATTATGATATGTTCAGGTGTTTCCTCTAAAACAGCGGAAACTCACTGTTATTTTTTAACTAATTTGATACAGTTTTAAAGTGTTATCCTATAATTAATATTTATATTTCAGAATGCCCGCCTCTCGGCGTTGCCATATCTGACGGCATGGATAGCGGGTATCATTATCAGTATATTTGCTGATTGGTTGCTGGCCAAAGGTTGGATATCCCGATTGGCCAGTATGAAGTTGTGGAATACAGTTGGTATGTACATTTATACATTTTATACAGCTCAGTAAGAATATTATGTGACTAATTTATTCTTCTAAACTAAAATGATACATGAAATATATAAGAAAACCGACAAAAAATTAATTATCATATTTTTTTTATTCTAGCTTGAATAGCTTAATATATTAATAGATTTAAAATGAAAAACTTACTTCTTATTAATATTATAAATGAGAATATTTAGATGGATGGATGGATGTTTGTTTGAAGTTATCGACGGACATACTCAATGGATCTCGCTGAAGTTTTGCATAGATGTAGAATATAGTCTGGAAGAACACATAGGCTACTTATTAAGTTTTCTTTATTCAGACGTCAGAGGACAGAGTCGCGGGCGACAGTTAGTTTGAAAATATTATTTAACTTATAAACACACTGTTGATGCAAATGTTACTATGTCATCGTAAAGGTGAAAGATCATTTTAGAAGTTAGTTTACTGAATATAATATGCTCCCTGACATATTTAAATAAGTGTTAACAAGTATTTATAGCTATGTATTACTAATATTATAAACTAGTTGTCGCCCGCGACACCGTCCGCGTGGATATATAAAAAACTTAATTAGTGTAGCCAGCCCCACCCATCCATCCATCCACAATACATCCATCTAAACATTCGCATTTATAATATTAGTAAGTTAAATAAAAAGCAGCTCTTCAAGGCATAAATTCGAAAAAAAATTAATAAATAGTATCCTATGTCCGTCTCCTGGCTCTAAGCTAGCGCCTCACTATTTTTCAGGCATATCGGTAAAGCCGTTCTTGAGTTATAATTAGTGTAACTAACACGACTTTTTTTATATATATATATAAAGTGAATGTTTGGATTGATTTTGTTTCTTGAATGTGATGATTGTTTGGATGCAAGGATGGATGTTTATTAGAAGGTATCTCCAGAAAGGGTGTATAGATCTGGATGAAATTTGCTAAGTAGACCACTGTCTAAAGAACACATAGACTAGTTAAGCTTTTTTTAAATTCCGCGCGCCTTATTAAAAAATTAATGCCTTGCGGATAGACATACAGGCACAGACCAAAATTTTAAAAAATGGTTTTTCGTTATCAGAAAGTCAAATACATTATGTTTACGCAATATTTGTATTTTTTAATGTTACATTTTTTTATTTAGATGTTTTGATTGATGTATTGTTACAGCGGCATTTGTGCCGGCGTTCGGCTTGCTGGGCATAGCGTGGGCAGGCTGCGACCGCACTGCCGTCATGTTGTTACTCAGCATTACTTCAGCATTCGGTGGCGCTGTGTACGCAGGTAACTCATCATCTTCATCATCCCACTATACGTCTCCACTGAGAGATACGGAGTCTATACGTTAGGGTTGTCTAGGCCATAGTCAACCATACTGGCCTATTGCGGGTTGACTTTACACATATCGTTAAATTTCTACGCAGATATGTGCAGGTTGCATCACGATGTGTTCCTTCACCGTAAGAACATCGGATAAATGTACATCTTTAAATCGAAAAACACAATATTACATGGCGGGATTCAAACCCAGTACTTGCAGATTACAAGTCAAGTGCTTAACTCCAGAGCCACCGACGCTCTAACTTATAATTACAATCATTGTAATAATAACACGAATGTTTGATTTCTTTACTAATATTATAAACAGGAAAGTATCGTATTTTCCATTAAATAGGCTCTAAAGCCACCATATTAATTTGAAAAATTCTTGGAAATTTTTTGGGAACTTACACTATCCCTGGATGACAAGCTATATTTATAATGATTATAAAATTTACGATAACATGGTCTGATTAAATAAGAACACCTTAACTCACGCCTGTAACCCAAAGGGGTGGGCAGAGACCACGGATGTCTAATTGTTGTCGTCCTGACACACCTCTTTCTCTTATATATATCTACACATACATGCATTAGTATATACAAATAAGGAAAAGATATGTATACGTGATTGGAATTCAGTAGTAACAAAATGGTATGGCGTATTTCAGGTAACCAAATGAACCACATCGACTTGTCGCCGCAGTTTGCGGGCACGATGTATGGAATTACGAATGCTGCCAGCAATATCTGCGGATTCATGGCACCGTATGTCATTGGACAGATCATCAGCTCGGATCAGGTGACATATCTTACATCTTACTAATATAAATGCGATTTTTTTTTTAATTTATGGATGGATGTTAGAAGGAGATTTGCAAAATGTTTCAACGGATCTCAATAAAATTTGGCATACAGAACACAGTCTTAAATACATGCTACTTATTAAGTTTTTTTTTAAATTACGTGTAGAGGGAGTCACATGCGACAGCTAGTAATTGTTACATTTGTGATTGCTTACAAATTTGTTGAATATTTCGCAGCAAACTCTGGGGCAATGGCGCGAAGTGTTCTACTTGGCCGCGGCCATTGATTTAGCAGCGAATCTTTTCTACTTATTCTTCGCAAGTACCGAGGAGCAGGTATAATAAATTATATATTTTATTTTTGTTGAAATTCTACAAAACATCCGTAATTAATTTGTACGTGTCAGGCAGTGAAAATCCAAGATTATCTTTGAATTTCTATATATTACTTTAAAACCTTTTGTTTTGAAAGTTTTTACATAATATTCAGTACTACTGCAACGCCGGAGGGGGCGTCGGGCGGGGCGGGGGGCGCGGTGAGTGAAAATGAGGGTCTCGAAGAACTTTCCTTTCATCATCATCAGATTACAAATGCTTAAACCTTCAACGACGCTCCTCGACGACTTTGGGTTTTCATAAATTAATGACGAAACACCATAAGAAATAAAAAATTTAAAGTAAACAAAAAATTGCAGACAATTTTTTCGATCAAATTCACTCTCTAGTGTTTTATTATCGCTTATTTGCTTAAACTTTCGTTATTACTTCCGAATATTTTGACTATGTTTGGATGGATGTTTGTTTGAAGGTATCTCCAAAACGGCTAAACGGATCTCGATGAAATTTAGCATACATATAGATCATAGTCTGGAAGAACACATTGGCTACAAATTATGTTTTTATAATTCCGCGCAGACGAAGTCGCGGGCGCCTGCTATTAAAATTATATACGGAATTGGTCCAATGTGACTTATTTTATTAAATATATTGTTTTTTTATTATTTTTTTTTGTTTTAACTTAGTATGGGTATACAGAGTATATTTGTTGCAGGATTGGTCTCGTCCGGACAACGATGACATGACAGCATCCGCGCCTGTGGAGAGCATCATGTACCCCGAGTCGTAGTGCCGGCGTGCTGCGCGCGCAGACACCGCGCTCTGACGTCACGTGTCTGCGCACACGCACCTCACACCTCACACCTCACACCTAAATGAACGTACCAACTTGTGTCACTTCAATTAAACATCTATGTTAGGCAAATAATAATCATGGCGGGTATTACGCTATACCAGTTATGGTGTGAAAATTTTGGGATAAAATGAAATGATAATTAAATAGTCATCTTTCATATTAGACAAGCTGTAAGAGTATAGTTTATTGTTAGGCTCTTTTTCCACTATCGCAGCTGCGACTGTCCGAGTCGCGTTTTGTGGAAAAAGGGCCTTACTCTCGTTCACACGAAACGGTAAATATATTACTTTTGATTCGAAACGCCTTGTGGTCAAATCAAAGATAACCAATTTTTTAGTTTCTTAAACCTTTCTGTTAACCATAACACAATCGTCTTTTTTAAAATGATATAATTTATTAAGTTGTATAACGAGGTGATTACTTAATTAAAACGGTTTTATAATTTATAATTTTTAACTTTTAATAACATACTCTGTGGAATGATTTTATAGAGATATCTGGCACAAATATCATACCTAAGTATTCTATTACTTTTAAAAGAAAAATATATTTACCTTTTAAAAGATTACTTTTATATCATTATAAGAACAAAGTAACTTACCACAGTAACATAAGTCAATTATTTTTGTGCTAAATTCTTTAATGTCTATTGCTTTTAATACTTTACTCTTTGTTTTCATTTTGAGATACGTAAAAAGTAATAAAATTAAGTTATCCAAGCATGGTACAGAATAAGCTATTATGCTTACAGTATTATTTCAGCCAAAATGAAAATAAATAATAATTTAATATTTAAATTAAATTATAGATATGTTTTTAAAACCTTTCGCCTAAGTAAATAATTTAATTCAAACTTAAATGAACATAGAAGACCTAAGAATAATCTAAGACTTAAAAAAAAATGTCCAATGTCTAGAGACGTCAAAAATCGCGCTATAAACCGGTATAGTTCTTTAATCTGGTGGGCAAAAATAGCGCCCTCCTGTCAATGTCAAAACTGACAATCAATTTTTCTTCTATTGCGATAGCAGCGCCTCTTACCGGGTCAGATAAGCTTAACGCATTTAAAATAATTCGTCTTGTCAGTCTTAGTTATCCCAAATTCTTCTTTATATTAAAATTAAGTAAGATACGCAATATTATTGTAAAAATATCATCAGTTATAGTCAACACAAACCCATTGCGGGTTGGTTGACTTCACACATATCTTTGAATTTCTTAGTAGATATGTGCAGGTTGCCTCACGATGTTTTCCTTCATCGTAAGAACATCGGATAAATGTACATACGTAAATCGTGAATCAAAAAACACATTGGTACATGGCGGCATTCGTACCCAGGATCTGCAGATTACAAGTGAGGTGCTATAGCCCTTGAGCCACCGGGGCTCTTCTAAATATATAAAAGCATAAAATGACAAATATATATCTGTACTTAGTGATAATAGTTGAGTAAAAATAATCGGGTTTTATTAAGTTATTTACGAGTAGCGAAGCTACAGTACAAGCTTACCACGTTCCTTATTTATTTGCCTCTGAAACTTAATTCTTGCTGTTTTATTACTTTAATAGCTTAGAAAGCTTAAGCTTGATAAAAAACCAAAAATTTTTTTGCTTAAAAAAATAAGTTGGCAACCCTATTGATGTTTATCCACGAAATTGTTTTTTTTAATATTGTAAAAGGTGCTTGAAAACTTGTGTAATAATGATTTTTTTTTAAATATGTTACGTCAAAATTTATCGTTCGAAAAGCTCGATTAATTCGGTGGGTGATCGAATCATTTATACTCCTTTCCATACAAAGTTACTTATTTGGATCGATTTTAAGTATCGATTATTGGGTTATGCAGATGATGAATATTTATTATGGTCGATGTAATCAAATCTACCTGTTAATTAAAACCTTTTTTAATACGTTAAGCATTCCAAAACTATCTTAATAATTTAAAATATGACCAGTATTCATTTGTGATTTGATTTCAGATGTTATTTAGTAATTATGATTTTCATAGTGATAATAAAATTATATCTACATAAATTTAGTATGTTTCATATATATTATTTGAATCTCTTAAAATTCGCACATATTTTAAACATTATCAATCTAATTTTATGTGTTTTGAATAAATATTTTGAATGTGACGTATCAAGAATTTTTCTAAAAATGTACATATAAAGTGTATTTTTGTAGATTGTAAAAAGCAAATATATTCTATATAAAATTAAAACTAGTTTTATTATCCTATCTTGACTTATTTTACCTTACAAAGTAAAAAATGTTTTCGCGGGAAGATATTCTTTTCTACCCTAAAGTTTAATCTTATGCGATTCGTTCCTCGTTTGCCCCTTGTTTAAGAAACGCCCAAAATTAACGTACAAATTAATTAATATCAAATATCAGAAATGATAGATGATTTCCAACATCTGGGTAGTTTATTTTTGTCAAATAATTACCTAGGTGTTATTTAAAATTGCTGACTAAACTTATGTGGATCGCTTTTACAATTAAACATTTTATTTAACAACTAAATACATCGTACGCTGTAAGATGATAATAAAATCATTCCAATGTGTCATTTCGTCTGAATAAAATCAATAAAGGCTGTAATTATTTACACACCCCACAAGAATAGTCGTTACTTTGAACAAAATGAACAATAATTTGTGTGACCAAATTTACCTTGTCTCTCCGACCGTTACTTCTTTTACTAAAGTAATGAATACCAGCAAAAACTAAAGGGATTCGACGGCGGCCCTTTTTCTCGTCAGGAAATATTATTGTAAATATGACCATAAACACATCGGTCGTTAAGCTTTGTTAATGGTCCGTTCGGCCATGTTGCCTTTGCCTTTGGCGGCTCGTATACTTTTTCTCAACTCCCGCGTAACCGTTTTTAAGATTTCACAGTAAAATTGACGGGTTGAGACGAAAACTTTAAGGACAATAGCCGGCGAATTATTTAGCAAACACACGCCCGCTCGAGAGGGCAAATACTTTGTTAACGGTTAATTGCAAGGGTTTGTCAATAAAGTTGCCTTTGTTAAATATTTTTACGCATAAATTTTACGACTTCGCGTCGCAGAAAGGTTTAAAAATTTCGTTACATTGTAATTGAATTTTAATTGCCGTTTAGTTTACACCGCAAGGACAAATAAACATTGTCGCTTGGCAGGTAAATTTTGCAATCGGGTTACAAGACTTATCTGATTGTATACAGGTTATAACTTCGTAAAAATATAACTTTAAAAGGTAGTTAAAAGATTAATATATTTAGTATAAACAAAACCACTAGATAAAGATATAGTGAGTAGAATTTCCAATAAAAGTTGCGCCTTATTTCAATTAACAATGAGATAATCATGTAAATATAAATAGCTCTAACGTTATTATTCGATCGCGATAAAACATTAAAGGTTTGATTAACATCTGAACCTTTTAAAAAAGCAAAATCAAGATAGCACTAAAATATAGCGAAAATTTAAAAGCTACTATCGATACTGCCGAAAATCTTAAATCTATAAATACAATGTACAATCGTGTCTGCTTTTTATTAGAAAACTAGCGGACCCGACAGACGTTGTCCTGTCTACACGTCTTTAATTTGAATAAATTAATATGAAGTTAATATTTGATGAAAATTGTGAATCTAAACCATTCCCAGATCCCCTTGAACACACACAAAAAATTTCATCAAAATCGGTCCAGTCGTTTGAGAGAAGTTCAGTGACCTACACACTCACAGAATAATTATATATATAAAGATTATTTCAATGACAATACTAATAAGTTATATGTATAATGTTAGGAAGAAAATCCAACACTGTGCCGGTGTACTAGCACAACACTAGCCTTAATAAAATGTCGACGTTTATGTATGTCCCCTCACTAATCATTCTGACACTTGACTTTGTACTGAAAGTGCGCTATTCGCGCCAAAGGATTCTAACAAATAATGTCTAAAAATATTTAGTGTCTGTATACAGATAAGTATTAAATTACATTTTATTATATTTTATACGTTCCTTTTAGTTTTTAAAGTTCGGATTACGGAAAGATAATTAGTTGTAAATTGTTAATTTCTATCAACGTTGTCTAACGTGCTCGTGAAAGCGGTTGTAAAGTGTTGAAATAAATAAAAGTATGCGTAAATGTCCGTAACACGCTTTACAATGCATTACTTAGCCCTTTGCAAGGATCGTTGAGGCTACTACAATATTACACCCTTTCACAATTTCGTTACACTGTGGCGTAGTAATAAAGAGATTGTTCTCACTACCCTAACTAACAGTATGAGTATAAAACTGTCACCAACTTAAAATATCTTTACAAAACACCTTTGTGTTTTCGGTGACAATAAAACCGACGTAAAACAAATTCTATTTCAACCTCAAAACAGCTTCCTCGAACCGCAGTAGACAAAAAAAGTGTTTTGCACGCACGTGATTGTTTTAATGTGTAAAAAGCGAAAGAGGTGTGCTAGAATAACATCAAATAGAAATACGTTATTTCTGCCTACCACTCTAGGGTTACGGGCTGAAAAATCATTACAAATGAAGTATTGCGTTGCTAATATTGAAAAGTTATTTTTTTGTCTTTCTGTCCGCAAGGCCGCGTTTGTTCCGAGTAATCACCGTAACGGCTGAACGGATTTACATGGGATTTTGAAGGGATGGTAGCTGATGTAGGAGTTACATTATATCTCTTAATTCCACAGTGGCGAAGTCGCGGGAACTGCTAATTCAAGGGTTTAACATTTTTATGGTCAGGGACCATTTTATAATATGCTTGTTGGGATGAATGGGTTATTTAATTCTAAATTTAAAATTAATTGCGCATCATAATTTCGCTTCTCAGGGCCACTGGTGCTCCCACGGACCACTGTTTAAGAAACATTAAACAAAATAAAGCTACAAGCGATGGACTGGCAGGAGAAGGCGCAAGGCAGGCGACTTTGGCGATCTCTTGTGTCGGAGACCAAGACCCACTTTGGTCGATGCGCCAGCGGAGTAAGTAAGTAAACAAAATAAAATAGGTACGAACAAAGAAAACGATATACTTTTGAATAAGTACAGTTAAGATCCTTCAAAGAACATTATTGTCAATAAAAAACAAATCTGCAGACAAAACTTGCTCTATTTTCGGTTTTAACAAGGCCTAACAGTAATGTACCTAACAGTTTTAAAATAGAGCACAGTTTATTGTTTTGTAGTTTTTATTGCCAATAAAAAACTACAAAACAATAAACTGTGCTCTAATTATAAATAATAAAAGATGAATACAGCTTAAAAATGTTTTGACCGTTACCGAAATTGTAACATTTTTTGTTTAAAATTTAAAAAAAAACTGACCGTTACGTCAGTACTAAGAAATTTGAATTGCAAGTTCTTATTTATGTATGAAAGAATTCTTCATTGCATTATATCGGTATTTATTGTTGTAATTACTATTCTTAAAATATTACTATTTCTTAACTTATTGGAAAAACAAACAAAGAAGATGGAAACGTGTAGTATTTAAACTCATGCGTGACTACCAAAATCAAATTATGGAACGAAATTGAAGAAAATAAACAACGCTGATTCTACCACTGTATAGGATAAAAGTTACGAATAGGTTTATTTTTCTATCATTTTCATATAAATTTACATATATTTTAAAACATTTGCCACATGCGTGCATTCATTTTTTTAAATTCTATTCGTTGTTATAAGTTTAAACGCTTATCGGTGATTATATACAAGGTTACCTATATGCATTTCAAAGGCAACTTTGTCTATGGAAAACAATGAATGAACAAAGACCTCAAGCGTAGGCTAATGAGGCCTGTGGGCTGCGAGCGCCTGACAGATTTTGCATATGCAATAGACGTTGCTTTATATTAACCAAACAATATTGAATCCTCGGACAGTATCAAAATATATAATACTAAAAAATATATAATAAACTAATACACCATTCATTTACTTAGCGGCATGTACTTTTCAGCCGTAAAGACTAATCAATCCTCTTTGTTCTTGCACCGATATTACAAGAAGTTTTTACATATTTGGCTATGGTTTAATCTATATATTTGATTTGTTTACTTAAATTTGCGTCAGTTTGTCTCTAACGTGAATTAAACTCTGTAGTAGCAATTATACTTTTAATATTAGAACTTTATTGTGGT